CTCCCGTAGTTTTTCCCGGAATGGGAATCACCTCTCAACCAACCGTAAGCAATACACTTTCTTAGACCATACCAAAACACCTGCAATACACATTTACAACCCATAGACTACATTCGTGACACAAACAACCTCGGTCACACCTACCACGATCGGTTCAAAAAGAACCACCGCACTAAACCGTGACCCAATTCACAAACACTAACCTCCTAAGGTCATACCTTTGTCCCACAAAACCCTCACTCTCACACCTGACCCCCATGATCACAAAACATAGCCACCATACTATGAAATACAAACCCATTCTAAAGTTGTGCTCTAAGCACCGCACAAAATGCACCAAGAAGGTCAGGACGACCCTACATTGGGTAGCTCAATCCACGAGCTAAAAGACCAAGCCATTCGTTCCATAAGAACTGGCACCCAACAACCCTAGAGCAACCGAGCTCCTCACCTACTCAAGTCAAAACTTACACAACCATCTACACTGTGACAAGTACTCTACCATACTAGCAACCCTCCCATGCTCGACCGCATAAAGACATAAGAATGTAGATATACATGTATTCAAAATGAATGAAACCACAATACCATGCTCACATTAGCATAAAAGAAAATTACACTAACTGTGCCTACTGCTTACCACCGTCATGAATCTCATACTTTCCACTTTATCATGTATAACATGCTTTCAAATACTTTCACATTTCATTTACATATACCAGTAATTTAAACATATAAGCACTTAGCAAATAAGCATGCCTTCAAAACTGTAAACATATAAGCAAGTAACAAGAAAACATGCTTCTTAAAACAATAAACACTTTATCATGCAACACTTCTAAATCAACTCAAGTCTCACTTAGGTCAACCCTACCCGTTGTCCTTAGGTTTTCAAACCTAAAGCTCTGATACCATTTTTGTAGCGACCCAAACCCGTGGGTCCGAACCATTAACCAAGTCCTTACCCGAACCCGAGGTCATTTAAGTCAATTCACCTCCATGTTTAGTGCCAACACATCCTCATCACGTTTTAACTAAGCTTTAAAAAGGTCCTAAATAAGCATCCAAGGTTCGGGGTTAGCCACTCTCAAAGAAAGAACAGGATGCACTAATGCAGCTGCATTTTGGTCGACCAAAATGGGGTGGTTTCGGTTGGCTAAAATGACCCTCTCTATACTGATCGACCGAAATGAGCATTTAGGTCATCCAATTGTGCACACAATAAAAGTCTCGAGGCTAGTGAAAGGTTCGGTCGACCGAAATAGCCATTTCGGCTGGCTGAAATGACCATGCGAGCTTGTTCCTGCTACTGGAAATGTTGAAATTGTGAAAATGAATGGAAGCCTTGGGTAGGGACTTTGAAGACTACTCTAAACCTGTTCCAACACATTCTTAAAAATGATGCTACATACCGTGGTTACATCCATCAACAATTTATCACAATGCTACATTAATTCCCATTCATTTCATGTATGAAAAGTATAGTCTTTACACTCAGTCCAATTTCCAACAAAATACGATCATGAGTCAGAGTTATATTACAAAACCATGATTTACAACTTGATACATCTCAAAATGATACTTTTACAAAGGAACAAGTTCAAAACACAAAGGGTATAAAACACTCTTCTAAATCCCTCCAGTGCCTGTGGTGGATTGTCATCCGCCACTTCCTTCCCGTGACCTGAAAAATGATAAATCATAGAGTAAGCTAAACGCTCAGTAGAAGGTGCCCAAGACATACCTCTTATGACCCCGTAAATCCACATATAAAATAGAAATCAAGAGAACGGGATTATACTATACCGGGGATATAATCCATAACCACAATTGTCATCCAAGTCACAAATATACCATGTATGCCAATGAAGTGCAATGCCATGCCCATGTCACTCCCCATTTTTGAAACATTTTCGTTTCAACTTCTAAACCGTTAGTGTAATCCGACCCAAGGCACCTCCAAGGCGTCACGAAAGGGGAATTGGCTACTATCCACAACTATAAGGCACCTCCAAGGCGTCACATCCAGCCTAGTTAGCTCAATCCTTAGTCCTCTCTAGACTACACTAACACCACGAACCACTAGGCGCCTTCTAGGCGTCCGGTTTTCACAAACACTTTTCAAAAACAATTTTCTCAAAGCGATTTCATTTGCTTTAAAAACACTTTTCCCTTTCTCTTTCTTTCCAATGGATGCATGAATACTTTATGCTTCTAAATGCAATTTAACTATTGAATTTCACACATGCTTTCTATAATAAATTTCAAAATGCGTAATTCATGCTTTCATTTAACATTGATTTAACATAGTAAACATACAAGACACAAATTCTATTCCATATAGGCATGCTTATACACAAAACATCAACTAACACATAATCACATTTCTCATGTACATCATTTAAACATGCTTTCTCCTCAAAGAACAATTAACATATAACCACATATCACTTGTATAACAATTAAGTCACCTTTGCAGGAATCCACAAAATTTAGGCATACTTTACTACAATTAATGAAAGATAATTCACTAAAATCTAAGAAAATGTGAATTAGAAATCCCTACCTCCAAGATGATGAAAACCCGCAAAAATCCCTAGAATCTCAAAATTCGTAGGGTGCACCAAAGGAGAAATTGTTTACATCAACTTGTAGGTCTCACCGAGCTCTCCGTTTTGCCGTAAACGGCACCAAAAATCTTCTAACAGTTGGAGATTAATTGAGATTTAAAAATTGAGAAGAAAAGAAAAAGAAAGAGAGAATGGAAAGAGAGAACTTACGGGAGAGAGAGGAAATTGAGACCAAATGTGGTCTCTTGACCACTTAATGGAACTAGTGGCGGGTCCCACCCCTAAAGGATTTTCTTTTAACTTTTCTTTTCTTTCTTTTTCCACCACACACACATAAATGCATACAAACATACAATAATCACATAAATCACAATAAATAAGAATGAATAAAATACAAATGGACCAAACCAAAATCCCTGTACTTAACAGTTCCGGTAGTGGGTCCCAAAAAACGGAAAAACGCCGAAATGGCAACTGTTGTATTTTCAAAAGTCCTGAACTCAATGGAATGCCACAATCAACTCTCGGACACACTCAACACACCCCATGGTGTTTGACACGCAAAACTAGAAAGGTCCAAAATACCCTTGCAAAAACATAAAATGATGAAAATAGAAAATGATGAACATCCGGAACATTACAACAAATGCCAAAAATATTAAATGATCATCACTGATCTCCTTTGGTCCAGCTTCTACATACCCATCTTCGTCATTATACAGAAGTAACGGCTCCACTCTTGGAACCTCCTTGACATAAGGATGAAATGTGTACTGGTGACTTAAGTCTACCACACTTGTCAGCCCTACTCGAGGCGCCCCACCACGCCATCTGAATGCCCGCATCCCCATGCCTTGGGGTACTTCCCCCTCTCGAGGAGTGTATGTAGCAAACCTGTAATGACCCTGTCATTTTACGTCCTTTCTTTTTTCGAAAATTATCTTTTTTCGCCTTTTCCTTATTTCGTCATCTTCTCATTTTTCACTTTTACTTGCATAACCTCATTTTTTGTGCTCGGATTTGATTCTGGTTTTGCATACATCCATGATATTTAAATTCCATGACATCTACATTTTTACTTTTGAAGAAATGCGTATTAAATGCTTACTTTCTTTGTAAAAGTAATGAAAACAAGACTTTTTGTAATTATCTATAACTTGAGGGGTTTTTGGGTAATTAAGTAAAGTAATTATTTTTCGTCTTAGGGACCATTTTATAAATTAATTTGGAAGATATTTTCAAAAAGGACCTTTTTGCAATTTCCAAAAAATGTGATAAGTGTCACATTCCTATGGTGCCACTTGTTGATTTTGTGGTGAAACCACTTGGAGGCTTAATCTCATGACACATGGAGAGTGGAGATTCACCCACTTGTTGTCCTAGGATTGGTGCACTTGTTGGCATGGATGGTTGACAAGTGTAGGGTTAATATTTAATCTTGGAAGCTTACTTGGATTCATGACAAGTGTAGGACTCACCTTTAGTCTTGCATTAGTGTGTGTGTGAGAGGTAGTGCAAGAGCACCTAGTGAGTGGAGAAGCTTACCAAATTAGCTTAGGGTTTACACATTTTAATTCATTCATCACTTTCCTCTCAAGAACCCTAAGGAAGCCACCATTGGAGAAAAGCTTGACTAGTAGCTTTGACTTCATTTTTGGTGTCCCTTCACTCACCTTAGAACTTTGAACTTGGAATACTTTAGGTTCCTCCCACTCCCCTCTACAAAACCCTTGTTTGGTTTTTCATTTTTAAGCTTGGTTGCCTTGGATTCAAGAGGAACAATCCTCTTGTGAGGTAGGGGGTGTTATCATTTATCTTCCAAGTGATTTTATTTGTTCCTATAGTGATATCTAAGTTATATGTTTGTCTTGTATTAAAATGAGAAGTAAATGATTAATTGTAACTTGAATGTAATTCACTTTAGACTTGATAAATAACATGACCATGGCTTGATTCATAGCATATGTTAATTTGAGGTCATTTAGAGTCGTTTTAAAAATCTAGAGGGATTAATGAATTAATTTAATTAATTTTTATTTATATGCTCCTATGACTTAAATCAAGTTTTGAAGTGATTTATATAATAACCATGACATGTACTATAACATATATTAAATTGAGCATGTTTAGATGAGAAGTGAAATCTATGAAATTTAGTTGTTTTATTTAATTGTTCAAATTATGATTTTAAACCTATATCATACTTGTGAGGCTATGTTCTTGTTGTTGTATGATATAGTTGTAATTAGTGGCAAATTGCATAATGATTATTCAATATTCTTCATGCCATTTTAGTTGAGAACTTAGGGTATGTATTATGTTGCCAAAATTGATTTGTGCATGTTGATGGCTCACTACAACAAGAGTGACCTTTTGTGACAAAAATTTTATTGACAAAATCAATTTCGTTGGTATAGGTAGCTCTTTAGTGCCGTACAAAATTTTGGTCACAAAAAGAGTATGCTTTAGTGACCAACTATAATGTTGGTCACCAATTGTTTGGCGGAAAAAGAAATCAAGCTCCCGCGGTTCCGGCAATGGTGCCTGTGACGCTGTTTTGGAAGGTATTAGTGACCAAATTTATTTGGTCCCTATCTCATTCGTTATCCTTGCGTCATATGTCTCTATACATCTCATCTAAACCCATGAAACCAGCACGACCTCGTACAGCCTAATGACCCCAACCTCCCAAAATTTCCCCTATTTCCCCACTGTGCGCCCAATTCTCACACGATTTTTAAACGTGAATGCCAATAGAAAGAGAGAGAGAATATCTGCGACCGATTAGCACCGTCGTCGGCAGTGCATCTGGACCATATCTCTTTGTCACCGATGAAAACATTATCGTCACCACCACAATAAACATAAAGGTATGGAATTTTTGTGTTGTGGAATATTTAGAGCATCCAATGGAACTTAGAAATTAGGGCTTTGGGTTATATATTTTTTCAAAGCGATCAATTTCTCTCAAACCCTAACTATTGGGTTATATAGATTTTCCAAACAAGCACATTCTCTCAAACCCTAACTCTCTCTTTTTCAGCAGACCTTTCAATAACCCTTTTCTTGGGTCTTCGATCAACAGTCAGAGATACTGAGGTTTTTTTTTTTTTTGGTGCAATTATTTGTTTCTCCTTCTGGTGTCATATATTAAGTCTATGATGATGTATTATTATTTTTAATTGACATTTTTTGTTTTTGATTAGTGATACATTAGAAATAGAAGCTGTTATTTTTTAATTCTCAAATACACTCGTTCTTTAACGGTCAGAATTGTGAATTTTTTGTGTGTGAAATTGACAAAGCTTCACTTCTCTCTTTTTCAGCAGACCTTTCAATAACCCTTATCTTGGGTCTTCGATCAACAGTTAGAGATACTGAGTTTTTTTTTTTTTTTTTGGTGCAATTATTTGTTTCTCCTTCTGGTGTCATATATTAAGTTTATGATGATGTATGATTATTTTTAATTGACATTTTTTGTTTTTGATTAGTGATACATTAGAAATAGAAGCTGTTATTTTTTAATTCTCAAATACACTCATTCTTTGACTGTCAGAATTGTGAATTTTTTTATGTGTGAAATTGATAGAGCTTCACTTCTCATATTGTGATACATTAGCAATAGAAGCTTTTACTTTCTAAATGCTCAAGTATACTAGTTATTTGACTGGGTCTATTTTTTTAGAGCATTAATTTAAATATATTTCTACAACAAAATTAATTGCATTTCATGGAAATTTAAGAACGATACTATATTATCTTGACCAATTCTTCATTTTCCTTGGGGTTATTAGACTAAGTTTGGTGTGTTTCTATTCTTTCCTCTTACTTTTCGTCAAATTTTTACACTTTTATAAAAGGTAGCTCTCTGCTCTTCTTTCTTTTTTACTCATAAAGTAAGTCTATTACAAAATTTAATAACAAGAATTCCCATCTCAACCCAATAGTCTATTACAAAATTTAATAGTTTTGTATACTTTTTGTCTAGAACTTGCTGAAAATATTTACCCTTGAATATTCTCTTTAATGGGGCAGCCTCATATTTCCCTTATATATTTGAGATTTTTAGTCTATGGGTGCCCTTGACATTTTTTTCAACAATTCTCTCTTTTTATATTTAATTGATGTTAATCATTTGGGCAATGTTACTAGCAGTACAACCACCACCATTTGAATTTACATGATCCACCACAATAGAGTCACGATTTTAAGTCTCTTGTCTTTTATATATTTAATTTGTACCGCTTGGTAAAGACACTAACATTGTTCTTGTACTTATCTTGTTATTAGTTTTGTAGACTTGATTATTCTTAAAATTAGTCGAGGTATATTTACTGATCATCGACTAGGATATTTGACAAGAAAGTCTAAAGTTGGGTTATGTTGTTGCCATTTCTATTACCTTTTCTTTTAACCATATTTGTTTTTGTTGGGTTAGTTCTATTCGTTTAAGGTTTAGTCATATCTTTAACTTCTTTTTATTTTAATAACAATGCATTTTACTTATTTAAAACTTTTGAACTTTTAAATTCTTTGTTGCATTTCATATAATCTCTCATTTAGTTGGTGATTATTTTTTCTTACTTCGCATTGTTTATAACATTCACAAATGTAGATGAACATGAGCTAGAGATTAAAGATTTTATTGAGGTGGCTAAGGCCCAAAAGAAGAAAACTTTATTCTCGGTGATGACACTTCAAATGAAGAAGATACATCCAATGATGGTTGCTCAGATGAAGAAGATATTATGTTCTATGATGAAGTTTCAATCTAGTTTTTGTAATCCTCTCTCTTTGATCAATGTTTTTTTAATAAGGATACACTATTTATTTTGTAGGTAGAGATTTATCCAACTTACCACTTTTGGTGGTTAGATGAGGCAAATGAAGGCAAGCTTGCATTCTATTAACTTCTACCATCATTACAGCAAATGTTGGCTTTAGAGCATTCCCCCTTATCTTAAGTTAATCAGTAACAATTAACTTGGTATATATGCTGAAACTTCTAGAGTGTTTATTGATGAGATGGCCTCAGGCAAATAAAGGTAAGCTTCCATTCGAAGGATTTGTGTTTTAATCTACATATAGTTGTTTCCAATGTCGTCGATTGTCTGGATTGTTTTGCTCAATGTTTCTCCTATTCTTCTTCGTTTTTACTTTCCTGATTTTCAAAATTTGCTAAAGAAAAGGAAATGAATTCTAATTGGACTATTCAGCCTAATTACTTTTTGTGCATTCAGTGTAGCTTTTTTACTGCTTTTTCATGGAGTGAGATTTCCACTTTGGAGTTGGATGATGTTGTTTCCAATGTCATTTATATTTCGTACTAAATTCAATAGCTTCGTTTATCTAAGGAGAAAGGTAATTCAAATTTCGTCATTGGTTCGTGATTATGCTCTTTTTGTTACTGTTGTATATATATATATTTGTTTCAATGAAATCTATAATTGGAACATTCCCCATTTTTTTTTTTCGTTTTCTCAACTTACAAGTTAATTTTCTATAACCTTGTTCTAATGGCTTTGTTCTTTTTGAATTGCAGAGCAATTGATTGGGAGGACATGAAAAAAATAAACTACTCATGGAAGTGACAAAGTAAAGTGATGAGATTAGTGGCCCCATATATAGGGACTTGGAAGATTGCTTTTATGTTTTAGTTTGGTTATTTTGTGTTGCACAATTGAAATTTTATGTTGTATTAGAATCGAACAATTGAGGGTAGAAATTTGATCAAATTATGTGTAAGTTTGTATTTGAACTCGAATTATTATGTACTTCTTAATGAAATTTAATGTTATGTTTAAATTTGTGATGCCTTTTGTACTCTGAAATGTGTATGGTTGAATGTATAAATTTAATTAATGTCAATCAGTTTTTTTAACAATGGCAATGAGTAACAAAATATATTTTTCACTATTAATAAAATTATGTTTCTTTGTACCTACTTGGTGACGAAAACTGTTGGTCACTGTTTAAATTAGCAACGAAAATATTTGTCATTAATGCTAAAGAAAATGCAACGAAAAATTTCGTCACTAAATTCAAGTAGCACTGACGAATAAATTTTCGTCACTAAAACTCAAACAATAGTGACGAAATTTTGATTTGTCACTATAGATCAACCGAGACGTTTATATAGCAACAAACTAGTGACAAAAGTTTTTTCGTCGCTAAATACTTTTAATGACAAAATTTTAACTTTTTCTGACGAAAAAAATCGTCATTAAAGATCACTTTTGTTGTAGTGGCTTTACATTGTATATATATATATGTTATGTTGATACATATATGTAATGTGCACAAAATGTTGATTTTGGAAACTTGAGGATGTCGTTGTTATGACTATGGCTAGGGCATGGTTCTAGTATAGGGGAAAGTCCCTCTACAAGTCTAGTGCGCATATAGGGAGGTTACCCATGGGCTAGTAACCCTAAAGTAATCACATTGTCGGTTTGATCAGGCATGACGTCCAAGTATCCACTTTGGTTTCATTTTGCATTTAAATTCCATGTTGTTAACTTTGTGAAATTACATCTCATTGTGTTATGTTGAAAGTTCTATTGTCACTTGATAGCATGAATTAAATGGTATTGGATTGTAACTTGGTACAAAGATAAACCCATACATTCCCTACGAGTAAACTTGTTTACTCACCCCTAAGTTAATGGGTGTTTTGCAGGTAAAGAAGCCTTAGTGTGGGACGTACAACATTCTTAGACTTACTAGAGTTCTTGAAATATTTTTGATGACATAGAATATGCATATGTTAGCATATCTTGTCCTACTTTGCTTACTTTGATAAAACTTGTACTTATTGTCTAAGTTACGTAATTTGCACTTAAGTGCACCTTTTGACACTCTTAGAATATGTATGTAATGAGGCCAATGGCCAAGGACACATATATGCCATGTATGCTACTTTATCTTTATAGTTTGTATGTGGAACTTAAGGGATTTCATCCATTGAAGGGTCATATTTTGCATATGACATCCCATGAGGCCGTAAGCCATTGTAGCACGTCTATTTCATCATAATACATTTGCCTGCATGCTCACTTGGGCAAAATTCACACCATTTCATGAAATGAACTTCCTTTGGACACTTTTTGACATTTTAAATTGCAAATCTGATGTGAGGGCATTTTAGGGATTTTACCTTGATAAATTAATTCCATTCTTCACATGGTCACTTAGAAAATGTGATTTTAGGAGGGGTTTCTTCTTCATGTTTTTCCAGAAAATGAAATCTTGGCATCGGAAATCGCATCTAAAGTTCAACTCTCAGTTTTTAAATTTAGCAGCTTTTTGGACCCTCTGGACCAGTTTTCTTGGGAGGGCATTTTGGGCATTTCACATTGCGTATTTTTTGATTTTTCTAGTGAGTCACGTAGAAAACTCGATTTTGAGAGGGGTTTCTTCTTTGAGTTTTTCCAGAAAATATCATCTTCATCCTCAAATTTCTATCTTTCCCGGAAAAACCCCTGCTGCCAGGGTTTCTTGCTACCCATTCTGCCGCCTTCACATCTAAACGGTTACGAGGGGTTTTGTAACCAGTTAGATGAGTGTGGGCAGTGTATTGCTCGTGAATTTTGGCCTCATAACCGGCTAGGAAGGTCTCCTAACCGGTTAGATGTTCATGGGTTGCCTCTTTTGGACCGTTTTGCCCCTTCTTCTTCCGTTAGCCATATCTTTTTCATCCGGACTCCGAATCAAGTGATTCTTGAGTCTAAATTCATTAATTTTTCGTTATCTTTCCAATGGTGTGCTCGGTGGCACCCACTTTTAAGCTAGAGATGATAATTTTGCCCCTAGGTTTATTCTTGTTCGTTTGTGAAACGTTGCTTCCGCATTTGATTCCTTTGGGTTTCGTGACCTTGTTGAGGGTCATAGTGGTGTCTTAGAGCCATGTAGTATCTCTAGAGACCGTTGTTTTGTCTTTTGCTTCCGCATTTTGGATCCGTTATCGGGTCATCTTTCGGTTCATCACTGACGCACCGGGTTGAAAAACTTGGGCCGTCATAAGTGGTATCAGAGCCCCTAGGTTCGAAAACCTTAGGACGACAGGCTTTGGGTGCATAACATGCTTTTGTTAGTGTACTTTGATTTATTAGCTTACCTTTGATAACATGTTTTTGGCATTATAACATGATTACATGTTTCTTGGTGACATACTTGTTATTATAATATGTCTCTATGTTTTATGCTTATATGTTTAAGAAGCATCCTTGTTTGACATATTGCTTAAGTGCTTAACTGTTTAAATAGCCTTCCTTGATTGCTTTATCATGACCGTATGTTACATACCTTATCTTACTTCGTATCTCTTACTTTCATAGTACGAGTTGCATTTGGTCATAATAACTTGTGTTATTGTTGACCTCTTTTATTGCGTATGCTTAGCATCATGGTTGTCACATGTAGGAAGTCTTCTCGTTAGGGTGTTAAGGAGCAGGTGGATGACACCGAGTTTACGAGGGGTCCAAGGAGGCCTAGGATTCCAGTTCATGGCACGGGTCCAAATCCACCACGAGCTCTGACTTACGAGGAGCAGATTGCACAGGGAGTGGCTCTGGGGATGTCAGAGTCCATTCAGGCGATGTTTCGCCAGCAAATGACGGGGATACAAATTTCGGTACCAGCACCAGCACAGGCACCAGTTGTTAATGAGGCATTGGACTACTTTATGAAGTTACAGAGGGTTAAGATCGACCAGTTTACAGGGAGTATGGATCCGCTTGCCTCAGAGGCATGGTTTGATCTTATGGTACACAAGCTCGATAGATTGGTAATACCTATAAACTGATTGAGGATCTCCTTGACAGCCTCTATGTTCATGGGAGATGTCGATATCTGGTGGAGGTCTATGACCAATATCCACGATGTGGAGGTGATGACTTGGGAGGAGTTCAGGACATTGTTCTTTGACCGCATCTTTCCAAGGGCTATGAGGCATGATACGAGAGTGCAGTTTACAGGTATCTATCAGGGCAGGATGAGTGTTATTGAGTATGAGACACGCTTCACTTCTCTTTCCCGTTATGCACCGAAGATGGTAGTCACAGATGAGCTCAGGGCGAAAAAGTTTCAGGATGGGTTACATCTTGATATTAGGCCACGGATTTCAGTGTTGGATCGAGGACTTATGGGGAAGTAGTACAGAAGGCTATGCTAGTTGAGGTAGAAGACCGAGATCAGCTTAGGATTAAGGATTCATATAAGCAGCCACGTGGAGAGGCTTCATTGGTGCGACCGAGCGTGTGCACAAAATAATGCACAACACTTTAGGTTTAGAAATAATGTCAAGTGGGCACCATATTTTAAAATTTATAAAACCACTAAACACTTATACTATGGAGTATGAAGTGAGCAGGGATCGTCCCAAGAGATCTAAACAATTATAGGTTTTCCAGAATTGAATTCTACTTTAGTGCTTATGTGATTGCCAAAAGGGTTTTGTTTGTGATTAAAACTAATTTTAAACTAAATGATTGCAATAAAGAAATAGAGTTTAAGAGATTGGAAAGAGACTTAGGGTTTAGGATTCACCACTAAGCACATTCCCTAACTCACTCACTTTCAACTAATTGGGGAAATAATACTATGTAATCTATATGTGGCTAACAAGTGCAATGAAAAGTGTAAACCATCAATTTCAAGCATGAATCAACTACCTAATGACAATTAAACTAAGTGTAGTGCAATTCACCCATTCAAAGCATGATTTATCAATCCAAGTTACAAATTTAACACACATTAATCTAGAAGATAATGCAATTGTGACAAAAAGTATGGAATTCAAACATAAGTATGGATGGTTTACTTACCTAATAATTGAATTGCAATTAAATTAATTAAACTTAAATTAAACTAATTAAACATTAATTTAAAACTAATTAGACAACAAATTAACCTAAACATGTAGTACCATCCATCAAATGGAAGCATTTTTCATCAATTTGAAACACAATTACAACTAAGCAATACCATGCATAGCCATCACAAGAATCAATTAACAAAGAATTCATGTGTAAAATTTGTTTATCAATCAACCACACATAAGACAATATGAGATTAATACAGATAATCAATTGGAAGAATTTAATTCATAATATTCAAGACTGTACACTAATTACATAAATTAATCCCCAAAAAGTATGAAAAGAGAGAGAGAATAGGTTACATGCTTAGGGTTTATCCGACCCTAAGTAGAAGAATCAGCTACTCATGGTTGATGGAGTCGAAGACTGGACAATCCCCATCATCTGCTTCATCTTCTCTGAACTTTTCTTCCAAACCCTAGCCTGTTCTTCCTTTTTCCCTTTCTTCGCGTGTTTTTACAGAGAGAAAATACGATACTATGATACAGAAAAATAAAATAAATTAAAACTTTTTTTTTTTCTCTAATAATCTTTACCTAAATAAAAACTAAAACTAACCCTAATCTAATGGCTCACTGGGCCTTAAGTAACAATCTCATTAAAGCCCAACAGTTCCCAAAATGAGCCCAAAAATTAAATAAAAACTGTAATGTTGCTAAGTCCTGGGGGATCGATCCCCCACCCTGGGGATCGATCCCCCCAGAGTTGAAAATTTCCTTTAAGCCCTATTTAGCTCCATTTTAGCCCCGAACTCATTAGTTTGCTTCTTCATCTTTGGGAACATCATCAAAAGCCTGAGATTGACCGCTTTTGAAGAATAAACACACTATACGAGCAATGGGCTGCGACCTCCTTTTTGCCATTTTCTGAGCTTTTTCTGAATATCTTTGCTTGACTTTAAAAAGGCTTTAATGGACCGTTCTTAGCTCAGTTT